TTACAGGATTGCCAATGGTCTCAATTATTTATTTATTTATTTCAAATGGCAGGCGTTTTGATAACTATCATTAGCCATTTAGCTGACTTCGGGCTTCACAGAGGGAAGGTTCATCAAAGTAGCAGAAAGTCGAGGGGTGGTTAACAGAAGAGCGATTCAAAGATGTAAAAGAGGCAGACAGACACAAAGGTAGAGAAAAAGGTGAGGTGAGTACTGTGGAGGGGTCGAATAAAACATACAGTGGGGTCATGGTAGCTTGAAGTCAGAAGTCAACTGCCAGTTAATAGACTTGCCGTATGAGTATACGTTGCCCAGGGTGCACCACGTGGAGGTAAGTCTATCTCACACCCCGTTTAAGGCATACTAAGATTTAAAAAAAGATTTGTTAGCTTAATGTCTCTTAAATGTTCTTATGTGTTATTGAGATTTTAAATTCTCAGACATGATGAGGTGCTTGTCTCCCGTCAAAGAGAGACCAAGTTGATTGTAATGAAAAATTTCCTTCAGTTGGGTTTGGGCCAATGTTGGTGATTGGTTACATACTCGATCTAGAGTTAACTGTTCTTGAAATATCTTTTATATTCACCAAATCAATAGAAGGCTCGAAGTGTTCAATTCTTAGCCGTGGTTAAGGGGTGGTAGATTTTGTGAGGCCTAAAATTGGTCGTAAGAGGTAGCGATGGAGTAAAGGAGTTGCGAGACTGAAGTCCCTGATCCGTTATGTTGTCCTAGAGGGACGTGAGCAATGGCCTTGTTGTAAACGAATCCACAGGGAGTGTGGACAGCCTATTTGGGTTCTATGTTGTGATGAGTGGCCAAATTGCCTCTCGAACAGTCAACCTCGGGAATCGCTTATTGGCGCAGTTTAAGTTTCATTTGGTTGGTTCCTGTGAGCACAGCATATTCGTACATATCGGAACAGAAGTTAAAAGGTGACGATTAATGACTTTAAGTATAAAATATGAAACCTCAAATACTTATATATAAACTAAAAATAAAATTGGCTTTCGTGCTAGATCATAAGTGGTGACACTAAAATACGATGGCCGGGAAGCTACTCCAATTTCGGGCGTGGGCAAGCCGTATGATAGAGAACTCAAAGAAATCTTAACATTAGAACTATTTAGCGAACGAATTTGATAAATCAAACCATTCCAGACATTGCCGCCACCTTTTCGGCAACTATAGTAGCTTTCTGTTGGTAAGTTAAACTTATAGACACATGAAATGTGCCAACACTATATTCTCGCTCCGCATCGTACTTTGCTGGGGGGAGGGGGAGGGGGGGGGGCTATAGAGTTACCTTGACAACCTCACACGCTGTCCTAAAATCTTAACCTCCAAATTATCCTGCAGAGTGGATTGTCCTAACACGGCAAGGGGGTGCGTCCTTAGTTGATTAATCAGTCTATCTGATGAAGATCTGGCGCGAAATGTCGGGCCAAGCAGCATGCCTATTAATTCATTTGGGGAATCGGGTATAGCAGGAGCTTGAAAGAGTTTAGTGAGGCTATAGATAAGTAATCTATCTGTTCGAAAATAGAGTAGCATACGACTTTGTTTACATAAATCTTTCTCCATGGGAAATGTCACACACCTCTAGTAGTTATGGGGATCTTGACTAAGAGGGGAGTCCTGGGTGAACCTGATTTGGACAACAGAGGAGGGATAGAAGAATGAATAATTCCAAAAACATTTGAACGTTTGTTCCTTTCAATCACGAGATTCTCCACGTACATAGTCTCAATGGAAGGTGGTCTACACCATTCGCTTTCTCCTTGGAACTTAATAAAGCTGAGCTCATCGATCCACAAGAGGCTGAAGACTATGTTTTCTTGGAAAGTTGACCTGCATCACATAAGAAACATTAAACACACTTGGATGATGGGAGTATTAACCTTGTGCTCAAATGAAACACAATTAATGCTTTGGCAAACTTATTTTCTAGAGTAAATATTTACCCACATTAATGTACTATGGCTATATTGTGTTTGACTTTATGTTCTTCCAGTGCTTAGGTTCTACGTCATTGAATTGTTCATAAAAGATTATCAGTTGTAGACTTTTATGACAGCGACGCCTTTGGTAGGACAATTTCGAATATAGTGCTGGAAGGCGACTGAATAGATAAGGAAAGAGAATCTTAATTTGATAGTCTAAGTCACCAATCTGCTCATCCAAATAAGTAGCTGTGGAAAATGTGACGGAAGGTTTCGATGCCATTTAGCGAAAATATAACAGGCCTCTGATAAAGCGAGGATTGTTGTGATCATTTGTTTATTTATTTATCTCGAATGGCAGACGATTTGTCAGTTATCATTTGCCCTTTAGCTGACTTCGGACTTCACAGAGAGGAGGTGGAACATCAAAGTGGCAAAACTTGAGAGGGGGGGGGATAGAATAATGTTTCACAGATGTAAAAGAAACAGACAGGCACAAAGGCAAAGAAAAGGTAAGATGGGTACTGTGAAGTGGTCGAATATGACATTCAGTGGGGTCATGGTAGTTAGATGTCCGAAGTCAATTGCCGATTTATACTTTTATGCCGTATGAGTACACGTTGCCCAGGGTGCTCCACGTGCAGGTAAGTACATCGTGCACTCCTTGTTGTGATCATTATGTGAAGTGCAAATTGTCATTTAGCGTCCTGCCATTCTACCTGATAGGCTGAAAGTCTATCTACCATTGGGTTTCCATTTCGCGAAGTGAAATTTCATAAAATTGTTGTATTGTTTTGAGGAGTTTGACAGCCTACTGTGTTTCTAGTAGATGCATGTATGCTGTATGTATTACAGCGTTGCTAAAGAAAAAAGATGTGAAGGCTCCGTTTGTGCTTAGCTCAATAATGATTAAATGAAATTTATTGAAGTCAGTGACATGACATATATCTTTGATGTAAAATGGTTCACTAAGGGTTGATAAAAATGACCATTTTAAAATGATGATTATTAATGAAAATAATACATAACACAAGGTTACTTTGACCATCATATACGGACAAAGTTCAAAGTTAATTACAAATGTACAATTTATAGTGGAAATAAAAGTAATTGAACACATTTACTTTTTAATAGTGAATAAGATTAGTGTAAGCGCTGTATACATGAATCAATAATATTTATGAACAAATGGGAAATGGACGTGCACAGATAAAACATAGCAAAGTTTAAAAAATGTTTATAATTAAGTATGTTAACATTAATATTCCATATCTTTTTTTAATCATCAAACTAATTTAAAAATATGTTTATGTGGATTGCAAAATTGCGCCCAATTTACATAAAATGGCAAATGATGTCTTTGACATTTTGGACGTTGAGGAGTCCGGTTCAAAAAAATCCTTGATAGACACAAGGGCTCTTTTAAGTAGAAACGACAAGGTTTATTTTCTTTTAAAGGTTTTAATTTCTTCAGAAGAAAAACGCCGTCAGACCTACCCATGTGAAACGTCCTGGTCACATTCCTCGAGAGGTTTGGGGATTGCAAAATACCTTTAAAAAGTAACTAATTTGCCATTTTAAGTTATTTTTATGCTTTGCGATTTGTTCATATTCATGGTTTCTAACAATTTTTTTTTAATTTCTAAATATCGTTGCACATTTTATTGAAAGTCTATAATTACTAAATTTTTTTCTTTTACCACCCTAGCTCATTCTAGTAAGTATTAGTAGCATTGCTTTTGTGTTTGATGGTTTGCTTGTATGGAATTATAAGTGTCCGCCATGTCGATTAGCTTTTATCTATTTTATACGTCGTTTATTTGTTCATTACAATTTCATTTTAGTGAGCTTCCACCGCTTTTACCTTCCAATGAGGAGCCTGTTTACAAACAGCCCAAAATAGAATTTGGATCTGGACGTGTTAGGAAATGGAAATGGGTTCCTTTTAAAAACGCTGCTAGGGAAGTAGGTATATAAATTTCTAGTCGACATATTTCTAACCTATTAGGACAATCTTGAACTCTATCATTGGAGACGTGAGGGGTCCGATGCGACCGATGAGTACGACTTTGCTCGTTTAAATAAGGTAATCTATTTTATTTAATGCTACTATAATTATGTAAGTAGCTATTATAGTTATTTCTCATTATAGCATATAGAAGTTCCGACTTATACTGACGCAGATTATAAATCCTATCTCCACGATAATAAGTGGACCCAAACTCGAACATCTCACCTAATGGATTTAGCTCGTCAATTTGATGTTCGTTTCATCCATATGCACGATCGATGGGATACAGAAAAATTTCCTCCCCGCCCAGCTATAGAGGAAATGAAGGCTCGCTATTACGGAATTCTGGCTGCTCTTGATAAAGTGAGTTGTGTTAGTAAAGTTAATCTTTATAGAATTTTATTTGAATTGCTTGATTGGTTATTAGTGATTGTACCAACTATTTAAGTTTATTTAAGTAAATTCATGTTCAACGACTACTCGGCTATGTCGATTTTGTGGGAGCAGAGATAATCATCTAAATTGTAATGGGTATTTGTGTATATGTTGGTGTATGTTGGTGGTATTAACGAGTTGGGTATCTTTTATGCGATTGTTTGGACCTCACGCAATCCGTACATTTGTAAAATTATTTCGTGATGACAAAATAGTTTCCATTAAAACGATTAGCCTACCATTAATTATTTAAAAAAATTCTGGGGCTAGCTATTTCAAACTGTTTTAGTCTTTTGCATCTATTGTGTTGTAAAAATGCCTTTTTTAATTAGATTATGTGTTATGCTTAAATGAGATTTTATTGTTATGTGAAGTAATTAGGAATTCGTCTTAATTCCTTGAATCCAAGTCCAGGGACATTCAATATCACTTCTAATCATGGCGTCCCACTTTGTATTTTTTTTCTCAATAGATGATATAGCAAAGCTCAAGATTAGCATTTTCTACTTTTAACCGGGATATTTCAGCACTGATTTCCTAGTTGCAGTATTCACCTTTCTGGTGCAATCTGCAACTCCTCCATAGTCTAATGACGGGAAAGGGGTTGAATATGTCTTATTGTATAATGTAAAAAAAGGCATTGTATTTTATACATTTTTGCGAAATGATCTACTTATATCCGTGGGTTAAATAAAGTTCAAATGTTGCTATTAGGAGGGGCTACCTATAAATTAGTTCATTTTCGTGTTGGTTAACCAGGAATTTTATTTATTAACTAGTCACTTCCTATTAGAACTTATCAAAGCTATCAGAACTGAACTAATTGCAAGGTCACTCTTCTTTAAAATACCACATTAGGTCTAAAGATGAAAGTAGTTAAGCTTCCTAAGGGAAGACACGAGATACTATTTCTACTGGGTTTGATGAATTTTTTTCGCTGCAAACCTAGGTTCGTGGCACAAATCTCTCACAAGGTCTTCGCTATGACATTGACCACGAGATTCTTAGAAGGAAACAGCTTAATCTCCTTCACGGTCGTAGCAAGGAAGAGGTGGAAGAGGAGGAGCGACTAGTCACCGAGCTGGAACGTATCGAAGCACGACGAAGAGCCCGCGAGAAGAAACAACAGGATCTTCAAAAGATTCTCAACCAGGCAGAACAACTCGACACTGGCGCATATGATGAGGCGACTGGACTCGGATCCACAGGGACTAGACGTGTTACTCAATCCGGAATAAGTAGTGTGGGTCAATCCGAACGTCGTAAATACACTGTAGAAGGCTTCGGAAGTAGAGCTGCGGGCGGTTCTCTTGGTACTAGTCTTGCGTCCACTGCGTCTTCTGTAAATGCTAGTTTGGTAAGTTCCTATGCTGCAAGTTCCCGTTTAATGTATTTATTGTTGTCTCTACGTTTTAATATTGTTATTTTGTGGTTTTTTATGGAGTCCATTTGAGGGTTTATGGTCAACTTTGTTATTTCAGTCTGCTGTTGCGAGCCTGACCTTCCAAGATCTCTCAAAGACTCCCGGTGTACATTTGAACAGTCAAGGGGTTAGTCATTTGTGTCTTTGAAGTTAATACTGCCGTCTTGATTAACAATACAGTGTTTAAACTATGTTGCTTTGCATTGCTTGTAGATGAAACTACCAAGCACGTTGGGTCAGAAACGAATACGGATCATCGAGAACTTCCTATCACAATATCAAATGGGTATGCTCGATTTTATTGCTCTTTTGCCATTGTCATTTTAGCAATATCCATTTTTTTTATCAAGCCCTCAGTGGGATCCACCAATGGTTGATACCGAAAATGGGGTGTTGAAAAATATTTCGGTCAAAAGATTGACAGTCAATCTATCGGTGATTATTTTTGATCAACAGAGCTTTTTCTCTCACAAGAGCGCCCTTAAATTGCCTCATATCTGCTCAAGTCCATGTACCATAACATCCCCCCCCCCCCCCCTCCTCCCACGAAATGGGCTTTGAAAGCTTTCATTCAATGATCTTGATATTACTGGCAAATGTAGTTTTAGTTCCTTCTTTAAGGCCAATTATTTTCCAATTTTCCATCCAAAAGTCCCACAAGTGTTGAGAAGTGTTCAGAGTAAAGTCCTAGCATTTGACTTCGGGTTGAACAGTATTTTCTTCACGGGTAGTCCACTCTCCAAAATTTAAATTCACTGATTTTTCACCTCTATTTTTCTGTTGGAGGGTTTTATGATTTGATTGGTGCTTAGTTCTGGGAAAGATTTTCCCCTGTCTTTTAGATGGTTTTCATCATTGCTACATGAAAGTTCAATGGCTTTATCATGAGATAAAATCGGGCATCCCTTTGCTGAAATTATACTCCACGAATTTCCAAAAAAGGATCCTTTGACAAGGCATTACGTGCCAGGGCCTCCCGAGAATGTGATGCTAGAGGAAACTTTTTTTTATTTTTGTCTTCCAGACGAATGTCGTTACTTATTTTTGGAGCTATCTTAAACATTTTTTTCAAAAGGGCAGGCTTTATGTGTGGGGGGGATACATATATACATAAGTTCATTAACTGTCTTCTTGCTTCCTAGTATCTTTGGGTTTCCGTTATTGTCTTTAGGGCTGGACACCGAATCAGGTGTGTCTTCTCCATTTCCTCCTGTAGGTTACATAGGGGGCATGTGGGTTGAGGGTATACTCCCAACCTGTGAGGGTGTTTTGCCAGACAATCGTGCCCGGTACATAGTCTAAACTCAGCAACGGCTTCGATTCTTGGCCAGTCGGGTATGTCGGAGATTGCCACTGTCCACTGTTTCTCCTTTGTTCGAGCTTTAAATTCGTTGAACCTTGAGGTCTGGAATTCTCTCCTGATTAAGGCCTTCATTGTGTGGAAAGACATCGGCTGGTCCATGCATTGCAAAATCGTTGTCCCCTTCTTAACAAGTGCGTTAGCAAGCTCATTGCCTTTAATGCCACAGTGACCAGGAATCCATTGTAGGACCACTGTTTTGTTTTTCTCATCAACTGATAGATTTTTTTTTACATCCGTATATCTCAGCTGTTTTGGGTGGCTCTCTGTATCCAATAGAGTTTATTGCTTGCTGAGTCCGAAAGTATCACCGCTTTGTTGAATTTCGTATACAGACAACATAATTGGCTTAGTACTATCTAAATGGCCTCTATTCTCCTTCAAAAGCGGATCTCTTGTGTCCCACTGCTGCGTAGAAAGAGAAGAGTTAAGAGTAGACACCTGAACCAGCGTTTGCTTGGTTTTCTATGTAAGACCCATCAGTGAAGACTTGGAGCCATTGGTCTGCAGGATAGTTGACATTGATCGCCTCAAGGGCCAGTGAGCGCATTTGTTCTGGAGGGATCTTAAATATAATGTTTTTGACCTTTTCCAGATCCTTGTCCCCCAGCAACCAAGGAGATCGTTGAAGCGTATAATCGTTTACGTTCTAACATCCTTCTGCTTTACGATCTGCGAGGTGCACAACTCAACTGCGACTACGATCTGCAGTCAGCCAAGGCCCGCTTGGAGCACTTTGCTCCCGATAAGGTATGTGGACACTGAGCAGCAAAAGTGATTTTAGTAGCTATTCCCCACCTCCAGTGGTCGATATCTTTCAAACATATTATTTTTTACAGAAATGTATTGTTTTATATGCGTCGAAGTTAATTCAAGAGGCTGGTGATTAATTTGTACTCCAGTAATTAATTTTTCTGTAGACAATTTTTTACTTGAATACTTTGATCCACCTTTTTCTCATATGAGTTGTCCGTTTGTCAATTTCCTTATCAGCATTATTCATCAGCTGGGGGTCTATTTGTTTGACATGCTTCTTTCGCCTAAGAAACAGTGATACATATAATTTTGTTTTATTTCCTCAAAATAATCTGAAATATGTTGCAATTTCATCGGGATAGAGTGAAAAGTTTTGGCAAACAAGGAAATGGAATTAATTTTGTGTCAGTGAATTTTCATGAGTTGTTAAGAGTTCCGGAACAAAACATGAACAATTGTTGAATCGTTGTTCAACAAAATTCTGCAAACTTAGTCTCTCTTAGATATTGGCCATCTACTGCTGCCAATACCCCACAGTTTCTCTTTGTTTTAACGAAAACGAAATTTGTAGAGCATATTGCAATCAATTTAATGGGACTAGTGGTTATCTTCAATGATGTTTGGGAAAATATATTGATTACGTCTAGCGCAAGAATTTACCGGGTCTTCTTGAAAGTCTTACACCTTTTCTCTATTTGGGGGACTGAAGCTCGACTCACCCCACACTGGACGAGTCGTTCCGAGAGCATATTCTTCCTGGGTGAAATATCGCTCATGGTGGCTTATTCGGGTGGGCTGTTATTTGATTAACCCCCCCTCCTCCCCAAAAAAAAATTAGTTTCATAAAATGGAATTTTCTGTTTAACCGCCCTGGGCGGATTACTCGGAAATCCCCGGTGATGGTTTTTTTTTTCACAATTCAACTTCCACCTCGGCAGTTATTGGCTGTGTGTATTTTCGTTGATGCATAACATTTTATTTATTGCTAAAGTCCTCATGACACTGAGAGAGAGAGAGAGAGAGTTATGAGAAAAATGGTTGGGCATTGTTATGACTACGCATCTTTCTCATCCCCATGTCCATTTGACACAAGACTGAAACTTTTGGAGGACAAAAACTCACTCTCTCTCTCGGTGTTTCTTCTTCCCACGTGCAGGCTTTTTTTGTCTCACATTCTCAACTACTCAGGACACCGTGAATTAGTAATGAATGCTCTAAATAGGGGAGGGGGGGGGGGAGTTATTTTTAGTCCTTCCTGCTTTTTCTTCTTTTGGTTTCTTCTCTTGACAATTTTCGTTTTCCTTCATCGAAGGTTGCGTATTTTAACCCCGGTTAATATAATTGGGGGAAATAGCTTGCACTTTGGGAGTTTTAAAATGAGAGTCTAATATGTGACGATCATATTTTTTGTGTGAATTTTCTCTCTCTAGTTTATGATGCTGGAATTTTTTTGCTCCATTTCACTTATCCAAATGTTGAAACCTAGATTAACTGTTGGAGCATTCGAATGATACCAAGCAGAATCGCCATATTATTGTGCCACTTCAAAAGCCCAGGTTTGAATTATTTTTTTGCGCATTTGCAAGAAGAAAAAGCTGGAACTTTTTTTTCTTCACATTTTTATATCTACGGGGTACAGATCGTAAGGTGGAAAGTGGTGCTCCCTTCTTTAACTTACCCGTCCGTCGTACAATACAACCCCTCACTATTTGCCTCTTCAACGTAGACGCATCCAGTCTGCTCTCCGACTTCGTTGCTTTCGGTGGCGTTGGAGCTGACAATTTAGTAGTTATCCCAGGCTAAATTGTGAATATCCTAGTTGGGGCTGGGAATCGATGAATATCTACCTTAACTATCCACACTTCTGGTCCTATTCTTTTCTGCTATTGTTTGGATACATCTCAAGGTCATCATTTTTCCTAATTCTCCTGGAAATGATGCGCTTAATGTTCTAAGGAAAAGAATTGGGCGTGGGCGTTTATCTCAAATGTCATTTGGCATTAGAATAAAGCCCCAGGGTAGGGTGATGGGGGGGGGGTTCAGGGGTTAAGGGTAGATCGTATTGTTTTTTATGTTTCTCCTTTTCTCATTATGCCTTACCCCTTTCGCTAGAGTTTTGTCGCGTAGTAGAAAAAAATTGAACACTCCCATTTCTCCTTTTCTTTCTGGTATTCCACTTTCACCTCCCAATACACCACGCTTATGTTAAGTGCTTTGTTACCTTTAATAGACTCACTCATGAGAGAAATCACCGCTTTTCATAACTAATTGAATAATTTGATTATCTATGCTGGAAACATGAATTTTGTGCCTCCACTTCGAAACGGTAAATAGTTGGGGAGGTTAAATCACTATGCCCAAGTGTCTCAGTAGTCGCTTATTGGGGGGGGGGGGGGGGGGGGTAGGTGGAGGGAGAGGGAGAAGGGTGCTCAACCTTTTCCTCTGGTTGACTTTTCATCCGCACTGAGTTCTCATATAGGCCGAATTTGTTTGTGTAGTTAAATAGCACAATCGTTCTGACAACAGCTGATGAGGTCCTAAATGCAAATTTTTCCTATTAATTTGCGGTGGAGACTTGCACTACTTTTTAGTAGTCTGAATCGGTAGAATGGTCTCGTATAGAATGCCCAACTTAAAAGCTGAATGAATCGCCAATGCTATTCGAAATTACACAAAAGCTATAACTTCAGTTGAACAAATTTGTTCTTATCATTTTCCCTCTAATTCTGCACTCCTCTTCTTATGTTTTGTTGCCCTTCATAGGCTCTCATTTGTATTTCCTGAAAGTAACAACGGAAGCATGTGATGATACTAAATCATCTCATTTTTTGTTTCTTTGGATGGTCATTAAAATAGGGGACTTATATATGTATATGTGTGTATCTCTCTCTATGAGAACAATCGCTATTCCTCCACTTTGCCTGCGAAGTTTCTCCCGTTCTCATGGGATGATTGCGAATCCCACAGAAAGTGGAGGTGAGTATTCAGTTGAACCGTTGTTGATGTTTGCGGTTTAGAACTTGGACTTCCCAGCGACATGCTGCTGATCGCAGAGCCATCACCGTCTTAATTTGCTGATGCTCAATAGAATTAGTAAGGGAGTAGGGGGCCGAGCTTTCGATATTTTTGATCTTTCGTCCTGAGCAGTAATTTGATCTTCTTAGATTTTTTTTGCGTTTTGGTGAAAAAACGGTACGTATTTCACAACATCCGAACTAACCAATCTCAGATGGTTCTCCAGTGTCACTCATTATATTTTTAGCAGTCTCATTAATCGACTAGCCTTCTGTACCCTGCCCCCCCAATTTATGACACCCGGTGCACATTCTAAAAATTCCCTCCTGTTAATTGAGTTGTATGTTAAATTTGTGGCAAATGGCTCCTGTTATGTTTATTGGGAAAAAGCGTATTTAATTCCTCTTTCCCAACTTCTAGTTTCGGGTACACCGATATTGACAACTGTAGGGTGTGGGTTCAGGAACTGTGACTTTCCTGTTGTTTGGTTTTGTGAACATACTAGTTAGCTGCAGGATGCCTAATCGCGATAATCACCTTTTTAAGTATTAAAATTAACTTTGCTTAACTTGATTCAGTCTACCCAACTCAAAGTCGTTTTAAGTAATGCAGGAGAATGGCTTAACATAGCTTTTCTTACCTCTCGTTTCAGATTCCAGCCCGTCTTGCCGACTTAAACTTAAATCCTTCAGGTGGTCCTTCAGCTCCCGCCGGTGTCGACGTCTCCGTTTTAGCCGCCCTTAAAGCCGCAGACTCAAAGCGTCCAGCCGCTCCAAAGCACGCCTTTGGCCACGCTGGTTCCATCTCCGCCGCTTTTGGTACTGGTGGTGTCTCCAGTCTCCAGCACCATCAAGTGTTGTCGGTGTCACCTGTTGGCGCTTCATCTTCTCCCCAACTGCCTACTGTCTCGTCTGCTTCACCGAACTCTTCTTTAGGCACAGGGGAAGCGGCATCTCCCCTTGGAACTCAATCCGTTGGATCTTCATCGGGAATAACCCCTGGAACAAGTAGCACTCAACGCAAAAAGAGGGCTGCAGCCGCTGTACAGGGACGCGTTATGAAGAAGCTCAAGACAAAGGGACACCTTTTGGAATAGGGTTTTTGTTGTGTATTGGCCCATTTTATGATTAAACACATGTATATTAATGATTGGGTGTTGCTTTTTCCCCTATGTTATCTGTAGCCTTGAAGTTATTTCAACAAGGCTCCAAAGTGTGAGGCAACTCTGTGTATAAATGAGAAAATCGGCTGCGAACTCCATCCAAAACAAACTTGGACAAGGAGAGATTTTTCTATTAAGATATCAAACAGCGTAATCACTACAATTTGATGAAGAGGAAACATTAGTGGACGAGTTGGAAATCGATAAGCAACATAGGCGAGAATAACGATGGTTTTCCCATTGTGGTCTGTCATAAGCTATTCGGACTATGAGTGATGACCGAGGGGGTTCCTCTGAAAAACCTCTGAACAGTTGTGTAAGAGTAGATCGGTCCCCTCTCGGCAAGTCTGCCTCGTAAAGCTGATGCGATTGGCAAACATATCAACCACCCCATCACCGAAATTGGAGAAATCTAAATCTTCTCACCGGCATGAATTATGGCCTTGGTGGGGAGAAGCGCGCTCTGCTTAAGAATCAACCTCCATCTAGAACGCCAACCACAAGTATAGGGTGTGCGAGAAAGTGAAATAATGTACTAGACTCTCGGTGTTAAGATTTTTTGCTAGGAGGGGAGGGGAGGAGGGGGTGTAAGATGAAAAACACTGTGGAATTAGCTGGAATTTTAGTTTAGTGGTTGGGTGTAGCCAGGCTTTAGTGAAAGCAGGTGATTACAGAATCGTAGCGACGATGGTAATTTCAGAGTTAGAATGCAGTAGGCTTCTATCCTCACCTCATACACAAAACTCTGACATTACTCAAAGTGCCTCATCGTAGTTCACGGCACTAAGACGACCAATCGATTGTACCTCACTACGAAGTGTAGTGCAAATTGGAAAGTGTGTAGCAGGCGGTCCATCGGACACTAGGACACTAC